CCCTTTTTTTTTTTTTTTTTTGTTCTTTTTGAAAAAAAAAATATAATATTTTTATAAACGGGTGTCCCAGTGTCACATATTTGAACATCACATTTGAGACGATAACACTTATTCATATTTAAGTCTTTTAAAAAGATGACACTTTTTTGAAAACGATAACCATTTTTGAATTGGAATATTGATCCATCAACGTTTCAAATGATATTTGGTATCACTCATGATCGCTATCTTAGTGTTTGGTGATTAATGAAAGGCAAGCACGTCTTGTGAGGACAAATGCAATTGGTAAAATAAAATGTAGAATATCGAAACAGATTCTAAATCTTATTAAATAATGGATGAAAAAGCAAGCAGAGACAAAAGGGTTATAAAATAATGCAAATCATGGAAGACCAGAACCAACAACTACCTATGCATTAAATTAATTATTGTTTTCAAAATGTATGTGTCTGATTTTAAATTATAATCATATTTTTCTGTCTCTCTAACAAGAGTGTGAGGTTTCCAATACGTTCACAGGGGAGAGACAGAAAGGAAAATTGAGAAGAAAAGAAAACCTCATTCATGTTGCCATGGGAGAATTCAGGGAGACTATCCATCTTCACAAACGGTGGCAATGGCAGACTCAGAGACTGAAACTTGGCTGCCATTAGTGACCCAGTTCCTGTTCTTCCTTGGTCGTCGTATTGGAAATAATGGTATCTGGAGATGCTAAAGCTTATTACAGGCTGAAAGAGACTTGAAATGAACAGACTTGAAATGAACAGAGTGGAAATATCAGATTTTGGACGTTTGTGGTGGTGAGAATGGTGGGCGTTTCTTGTTTTTGACTGTTGAGACAGGAAGTGGGACAAAAAAGGATGCTTTTGCCTCCAAGTTGTGGGAAATTTGAAGAGAATTGGGGTATTGAGCGAGTCCCTGAATCAACGCATAATGTTTCTATGAGGCTGTCTTGAGTTCGTGGGGTTTCTTCTAATGACTTATCCTTTATACATCCTGTTGTTATCAGCTCTTCACAGCTTGAGCTTCCACACCCTATCTATTATTCTACTTCTTTTCAATCCCAACCAAACATAAAAAGGGAGAGAATAAAAGGCTTTGTGGTTCATGCTTTCTAGACCATCACTTTTTAATCATTACTATCTATTAAAGCCTTTCCTCCGTCCTTTTTCTTCCTTTTTCTTCTTTTTCGGAAAGATAAAGATTCCATGTCTCAATCTCCGCAGCGTCCATAATCTCATATGAATTCTCCAAATAATGTGAGATCCCACATCGGTTGAGGAGGAGAACGAAGCATTTCTTATAAAGGTGGACGTGGTTTAGGAAGCCCGAAAGGAAAGAACAAGATGACCACCTTAAAGAATAGCTACCTACTACTTGAACTGCTCCAAGGAATAAAGTAGAAATTACTATCCAGCAGGCAGTACTGTCATTAGTATTTGGATATCCTTCTCTAGGCAGAGGTTGAGTTTTGGGTCTCTTCATTTATACATCTTTATAAACTACTATTTAAAAGAAAGTATTCCAGATAGAAGACATCGTCATAATAGAAACTTACTTTTAAACATTCATAAGCCATAGATAAGGTACAAGGAGAAAAGCTCAGTAACTTGAGACAGAACCATTACTAGGACATGAACAGATACCAAGAGAAGCCGAGTAACTTAGAATCTCAGTTCTAGATGAACTACAAGATTCACTTTATGCACAGTTTTTATTTTATTGTTACTATTGTTATTATTCTCTGTTGAGGGCAATTGATTTAAGACATGCACAGCACAGTACTTTCTATCCCTCTTTCAAACTCTTAAGAATTCACAAGTTGAACATGACCTTAATAGCATTACCGCCACAAGCACTGGTTTCAAAGGCATCTTCCACCTCCTTCTGTGAGAAGCCAAATCTGTGAGTTATAAGCGGCTTCACATTGATCTTACCACTTCTTATAAACTCCAAGCACAGAGGCCATGTGTTCTTGTAACGAAACACACCGATCACGTCGACTTCCCTGTCATATAAAGCTTATACTCTGTAAAATGGTAAAGAAGAACTTGTGGATGTTGAAAAGCAGGTATCGAGTTACCTTGCTGCAGCTGGAGTTAGTGGAACAGTCATCTCATTGTGACCCATTCCCACGAGACAAACTTTGCCACCAGCTCGGGTGGCACTTAAAGCTGTTGACATTGTCTTGTTAAAGCCAGCACAATCCAAGCTCACATCTACCTCAGCTTTCATGGCTTTTTGTATCTGAGCAACATCTTGATCTACATCCTGCAACATTAGATGCGTTGGTAATGTAGTAATCGACAGTAAAACTATGCATTTTGATAAGTCTGAAGCTTTCTACGAGTAAAAAACACACGTAGTGTCTCGAGTATGAATTTCGGCTCGCCCCTATTTCCACTAAGCTCTCTAGATAAATCATAAAAATTGGACAGGTGAATGTAAATTACTAAAGGCGTTTGTGTTATGAAAGGATGGAGATAGACAGAGAAACCTGAATGTCAATTGAAACTTTAATAACTTCATCTGCTCCAAGGTCCTTTGCAACAGATAATCGAAAGTCATCGACATCAACAATGACAATCCGTGGTGCACCAAATGCCCGGGCAGCCATCATAGTGACAAGCCCAATTGGTCCAGCTCCCATGACCAAAACATTTGTTTCTGGACCAACGTTAGCACGTCGACAAGCATGAACACCTACACTTAAGGGCTCACACATGGCTCCTTCCTCTAAGCTGACATTTTCCGGCAGTTTAAAACACAGGTCGGCAGGATGAACCACCTGTTGGAAAGAAAAATAAGTGCTCGGCATCCAATCTCGGAGAACTCCATAAACTTGATATGCATCACACACGTCTTATCATTCAGATCTCCAGAAATAATATCATAAAATTCAATAAGAATGAAATGAATACACACATGCTTCCCACAACATAGATTATCCACAACATTTAAGGGGTAAAATTTTCAAGTTCATTTCAAACTGCCTAAGCAAAATAATTACTTCCCTTCTTTAACTTTTTCATTCTTAAATCACATGGAATCTCAAGAAGCACAGGGGTCGGTTACCTCATTTGCAAGAGAACCATGAACAGGGGGAGTGGCAAAGAACTTCATCTCTGGGCACAGATTGTAGCGGCCATCTTTGCAGAGATCACATCTCCAGCAACTAATTCCAGGCTCCAGCGCAACCCTATCCCCAGGCACCAAATGCTTAACTTCAGCTCCAACTTCTGCGATAATCCCAGCGCATTCATGCCCGATGACCATTGGCTCTCTGACGACAAAATGTGCACATCTCAATGTCTGAAAATATGCAAACAGAGCATAAGTCTAAAAAGAAAGATAATGTTGATAGGCCCTTACTACCATTAATTTCTCCTCTCAGACTCAAATAAATACAAATTTATGAGTTTTTAAACAGAGTATATGAACTTATCAGAATTAGCTTCTCATATTTTTCTCTCGTCATTTTCCAGTTCAGAATTAATGGATAGGAAAAAAAAAAGACCTGCAATTAACATAGGAATGAAGAAAACAGAAAACCCATGATTCCAAAATTAAGGCACCTTGAGGTAGTGAACATCACTGCCGCAGATACCAACAGCCTTCATCTTAACTCGAACATCATGGGGCCCTGAATTGGATATCAAGAAAGAGTTGACTTGATAATACTAAGATAGCAAAAAATGAAGAAGATGAAGAAGATTCTGTAAGAGAAAGCGGGCGAATCATCATCAGGAACAGACATAGTGAGCAGGGATGGAGTGACAGAAGGAGATAAAACATAAACAAGAATAGATACATACCAAGAGGAGGAAGGTGAAAAGGCTGAATCTTCAGGGTATTGACACCCAAAAGCCAAGCAGCCATATTCTCTTCAACTCCATCTTCCCCACTGCCGCCCTGAGACATTCCTCCTTTTCCCATGATCTCTCTCTCTCTCTCTCTCTCTCTCTCTCTCTCTCTCTAGTCCCCGCTTGTACTGAAATCAGAAGCGGGTTCTTCTGTGAGATTCGATTTATCGGCTTGAAAATTTGAGGCGCCGTTGCATCCGTAGTGGTTGTGGATGAGATCCAAAGGCATTTGTTGCTTTTAAAACTAAAAAATAAATAAATAAAACCCGACCATATCTCAATCAATTTAATTCTTCATTCATCTAATAGTTACAAACTTGATTGTAATTTAACCCTTATTAATACTTTTAATCTATATATAAATAAAGTTATTTTCATAACTATATAGAAAGAATTACATATTTATGGTGAATTTCGTGAGGGTCTGCATCTCTATCAGAAGTTTGGCTGATTTGAGAATTCTTAACCAAATCCGACACATCAAGGATTGTCATTAGCCAATATATTTTATAGTAATGAATATTCATGACCCATGACACAAAAAACAAAACAAATGGTTCAGGACGTCGAACTTCCAACACGCGGAGAGATGAAGGAAATATATACAATTTGGCTTGATGGGTCGGATTTTGCTCGACATGTAATTACAGAGTAGCTCCTAAATCCAGGCCCATGAAACGCCTTAGGAAGCATGTGAGTGAGAGACGTGCGCCAGCCAACAGCAATGGCCCACAGAAAACAGTTGTGCAAGGATTACACCAGGATTGCAAACAGTTTATCAGAGCCTACAGAGTGAAACCTTTTTCTGAATCAACTTTTGGTCTATCTCTGCTAGATCTTCTGATCTCATTCTTCTGTTTCAAACAGTTTATCAGAGCCGATAGGCTACCAATCCCTTGGAGAAGTATTTTTTAGCTAATAGAGATCCAGAAAGAATGTAATCTGACTCAACTCTGATAATATCAGTGTCCTCCATGAGTTGTTTATCAGTGGCACAAGATCAAGAATTCAAGAACAAGCTTTTTTCTTTTCTTTTTGGTGATTTTCACCGTTGGATGCAAAGCATGACTGAACAAAGGGGATGGAAGCATACATAGGCAAAAGTAGAACATTTAAAACCTTCCACAGTTACCTTGAAGGATGCTTTCAAATGTTTTATAGAACTCTATATAGGTTCGATCATCAAGAACAATCCATATAGCTTGGGAGAGTTCAGCCTTCGAGAAAATGAATGCGTCTGGAGGGTATTTATACTGCACCAAGGTAATTGATCCAGTAAACCAGTGCATTGGAGAAGCATTCAAGTTGGTCAAGTTTTTGGCATCGAGTTAAATGAATGCTTATGCTTATGTTCTCTCTTCAATGGAACTATAAGCATATGGTTTCAGCACATTCGTCACTTCCATCAGTTCTCTAATCTTCAAAACATCATCCCACCTGTCTGAACCTGCATATGTGCTTGAACAGAGAACATAGTTCCCGCTATTACTAGGATCTAACTCAAGAAGCTTCTTTGAGACAATCTCAGCCAAGATCACATTTCCATGAAGCTTGCAAGCACTTAATAATATTCTCCATATTACAACATCGGAAACCATCGGCATCTTCTTTAAGAAATCATAGGCCTTGTCCAGATGGCCAGAACGGCTCAAAAGATCCACAACACATCCATAGTGCTTCATTTCTGGTGAAAGTCCATATTTGCTTTCCATGCTCTCAAAGTGTTCCAGTCCCTTGTCTACCAATCCCACATGAGCACAAGCTAGTAAAACTCCAATAAAAGTCCCATGAGTTGGGTAAATGCCTTCTTTCAACATTTGATCAAAGACATTAAGAGCCGAATCGGCAAAACCATTCACAGCAAGACCTGAAATAATGGAAGTCCAGGACACTGAGTCCTTATTTTTCATCTCATTAAAAACCTGCAGTGCCTTCTCAACCACGCCGCACTTACAATACATATCAATCAAAGAGTTTCCTACAAAAACGTCTGATTTGATGCCATTCTGGCGTATGTAGTCGTGAACTGCCTCTCCTACATCAAGTGAGCCCAGATGAGCACAAGCAGAAAGCACAGTAGCAACAGTTATTTCATCTGGTTTAACCATAGACACCATCATTTCTTGAAAAAGCTTCACTGCCTCAGCATGTTGCTTAGCTTGAGAATAGCCTGTGATCATGGAGGTCCATGAGATCACATCCCTTGAAGGCATATCATTAAAAATCTTCTTTGCAGCAACTAAATTCCCTACTTTTGCATGCCCCATTATCATTGCATTCCATGATACTATATTTTTGTCTTTCATCTGATAAAACACTCTGCCTGCCAAATCCGCCATACCACGGCGTCCATACATATCGATCAAGGTGTTTCCTAAGTAGACATCAACCACAACACCATGTTCATCAATGTACTTCACCAAATAGTCTGCCATTTCCCATTCACTCAAAAAGCTGCATGCTAAAATAACTTTCATCATTGTCAGAGAATCAGCACTCACATTTACAGCCTGCATTTCCCTAAAAAGATCAAGGACTTCCTTATATCTATTAAATTGACAATATCCACAAATTAAAGAATTCCAAGAAACAACATCTCTTTCCGGCATTCCATCGAACACCTTTCGTGCAATAGCTAACTCCCCAAAGCACCCATACATGTGAATCAAAGCATTGGAAACAAAAAGATAGGATTCAAACCCAAGTTTCATAGCATGAACATGAACCTTCTGGCCTTGCCCAACATCAGAAACTCTTGCACAAGCCTTGAACACAAAAATGAAAGTCAAATTACTCCCATTTATTCCTTGGTAATACATGCTATTATAGAAATGAATTGCATCATTAGGCCGATGGCTCTTTGATAGACCGTGGATCATGTGGTTCCATACTAGCAATGTGGGTCCCTGAATTTGGTTGAAAACGAAATGGGCTTTGTGCAAATACGGTGGAGAAAGAGCATAATGCTTGATAACTTGAGAGATAGAAGATGGGTCCGTGTGCATTTGGGTCCTTATAAGCTGGGCGTGAAGCTCCTTAATCGAGCTGAGGGAGTCCGAATAACTCGTAGCTCTCTGTGATTTGGAGGTCTCAGTAAAGGTGCTGAACAGGCGACAAACTGATCTGGGGATTTTCATAGCAAATCGTTGGGGCGGCCGAAAAAGAACACAGCTTATCAAACCATCGGCCATTCCAATTGTATTCATATCGTACTAATTAAAAACATATTTTATTAATATAATAAAAACTAAATTATAAACCTTGTATGTTTTTTAATAATTTTTTTCCTTTGTGGGTCTTATTTGTAAACAATATCATATATTATTTTGATGATATAAGAAAATTCAAGTTAAAAATCATTGGTAATCGTATTGAATTATAATTGGCAGGAACCCTTCAACGGTGTGGAAAAGTTCATCCTCATTTTTTCAAAGTTTGAAAACGATGCTTCCATTGACTCGTCATGAATACGCATAAACAAGGTAAGCCACACTCGACTTTGGACCATTTAAACCACGCCAAACACGACCATACTTTGAAAAACGATACTCCCACACAAATTTAAAAGCTTTTGGAGTTTGGTGCTTTTTGCCCGAACACTCTCATAATGGCTAGAGTGGGGATTTTAGGGTTAGGGTTCGATAGCTATCATACATTAGCACCTTTCATTTGGTTAAATTGTATAGTGTGACCCAAATCTCCCCTCTACATTCAATTTAAACTTATAAATTTAATTATAATTACAAATAAATAAATAAATAATGAGAAAATCATTTTCAAAAGGGTTGTTATCCCAACTGCTCATCAAATTTGACTTTTTATTTATTTATTTTATTTTATTACACAATTTGGTTTGACTCATTAAAGAGAGTGTTTGGTGTGACGATAATAAATTTAATAGTCTTTAAACCATATAACAAAAGAAATATTTAAATAAAAGTTAGTTACTTAATTTAATTTATTTAGTTGATATAACTTAATTAATTAAAATTATAAGTAAAGCTTAATCTTAGGTTCCTAAGCAATGAAATTCATATTAAATATTTAATTATCAACAGAAAGGGATTGCATATCAACTTTCAAGATATTGATGAGATTAATTTTTAATTGCTTAAGGCAATCGTGTGAGCCGCCCAATATTAAAATATCAAAATGGAATTTTTGCAATCATTTTCGATTATTATATGATTAGTATGCATGCTTCTAACTAAATTAACATTGCAATTTTTTAAATTTATATTTCCTTATTTTATTTTTATCCCAAACTTTCAAAACGTAACAAATAATAATCATCATAAATTATTAATTTAAAAAATAAAAAGGATTTTGTTTCTAGAAATTAAAGTCAAATACTCATCATAAATTATTTTTTATTTTCTAAAAAATTAAAATCATTAAATTCCCATTAAAATTATGGTAAAGGAGTTTGCTCAAGTCGTTGACCAAACACAAATTATAATGAGATGGCACAACTTGGCATATCGTGATTCTATCCATTTGCCAAACACTCCCCTTAAGGCTTAAACCACCAAAATCAAAACCATTCGGGATTGTGTTCAATCCACGTGTCAAGGATCTAGTGGAGTTACGTGTTTATTCATTAGAGTTTTGCCCTTACGTCCACGGCTTATATTATTAATGTAAATTATTTTACACCTAATCCCTTATAATTCCTTATTATTTTAATACCAAATTTCTGTCACCAAATTACCCTCCATTTTAAATCATTTTCGCCCCTGAAGTTTGTTAAATTAACGCCGTGTTCCACAATTTTATTATTTATTTCTTTAAAAATACGACTTCTTTCAATAAATTTTTGCTTAAAAAAAAAAAAAAAAAAATAATTCCTCAATCATTTTGCTTTTGCAATATTTTTTTTTATAGTATTAATATTTAAAAAGTTGATTTCAAATATTTATGCAGCAACACGAGATTCCATATTGGTTCAGCAGGGACGAAACATTTTTTTATAAGAATATAGAAATCTGTATCTAGTTGATGTGTTCTAAAACCTTGAGGAGAAACTCATAAGAGAAAGCTAAAAAATGACAATATCTACTGACAGTAACCTTGAGTTGTTACAGATGGTATCAAAGCTAAGCACCGAATGGTGTGCCAAATGACGTTGGACATACAAGGAGGTAGATTGTGAGATCCTACTGGTTAGAGAGGAGAACAAAATATTTTTTATAAGAATGTGGAAATTTTTTTTCTACCAGACACGTTTTAAAATTTTGAGAGAAATTTCAGAAAGAAAAGTTTAAAGAAAATAATATGAACTAATAGATAGTGGAGTAAGTTGTTAGAACGGTTAGTTGAACACGATTATCCACAATGATATTCGAGTATAAACTCTCGTGACTTTGCTTTAGACTTTCTTAAATGGTCTCACATTTTTTTATTATAAACCCATGATCATGATGATACTTTCATCGGACCAAGAACAAGAGATTAAAGGTAACAACAGCAAAAAAAAAAAAAAAAAAACATTGAAGAAATAAATATAATGGTAAGGGTAAAAGAAATAGCGAGGTCCATTTTAGTAATTAGGAGGAGTTGGAAGGGTGATTTATGGTATATTGTTTTGCAGTTAAGAGACGTTGAGACGACTTCAAACAAATCCAAACAGCCGTGTCGTAAGCTCATCGTCCAAGCCCCAAAAGCTTCCAACGCCAACTAAAAAAAAATCCTGTTTTTAAGTTCTCTCTCTCTTCCCCATCTCAAATAAAACAAAACCACTTTAATAAATACCTATTTATTTCTACTTCTCCATTTCATTTTACAATCCTAAAATTCCCTTCCACCATGCCCCTGCTCTATACTTCCAGAACTGGGCCACCCTCTTCGCGACTCCTAATCGACGTCGTTTCCTGGTACTGCGCCCTCGCCCTCTTGGGCCTCATTCTCATCGGCTCTATCAGAGAAACCTCCTCCTCCTCCGCCTCCGCTGACGACGGTGGCCAGATGCTCAGAGGAAACTTGCTGACGGGGCGGGCCTGCGATGAGATTTACGTTGTCGGAGAAGGAGAAACGCTGCACACGATTAGCGACAAGTGCGGTGACCCGTATATCGTGGAGCGGAACCCGCATATCCATGACCCGGATGACGTCTTCCCCGGTTTGGTAATCAAAATCATCTCCTCCCACAACCCTCCCAAGTTGGGATTCCAAACCGGTTAATAAAAAAACTTTTTCTTTTCTTTTATTTTCTTTTAAAATAATTTCGGAGACAACCATAGAATTATGATATTATGATATGGAGGTTTGTGTATTTTGTTTTAAAGGATCATACAGGGAAAATTATAGCTCATCTTCTCTTCTATTCTGTATATATCATAATTAATATAAATATTTTGTCCCTTTTCCTCTGGTCGAACATTACAGTCAGTTTTATAATTTGGAAGAATCCTCTGTGCACCATAATTTTTTATTTTTCAAACACAAAAATTAATAACTTGGACGTTAATCTTCTCCTTTTCAAACAAAAAAAATTAATGACTTGACATAGGTAGATAACCGGCTATAACTAAATAAGGATTTTTTTTTTTTTATAAAATTTATTAAAAAAATTATAATTCCAATTTATAAATAGAAAAGTTAACGTCGAGTCACATCCAACTCCATACGCATTCTAATTTTGATTTACACTCGTGAAGTGTTAATGGGATTTTAATGGGTTTTTAATAATTCCAACCATTTTGTGGAGCAATTAATTAAAACACAATGGCGATGACTCATCGGGTGTGATTGGGTGATGAGAGATCCAAGTTGGCACAAAGATGTGATTGGATTCACACGTGTGTTTATGTGTGTATGTGCGTGTGTTATACTCTATCAAGAATGGGCGAAAGTAGTGTGACGTTTGTACTCTATCAACCAGTATTAAACATATTAAAAGGGAAAATGAAATGGAACTTTGTATGCAGATTTACGTTAGTGTAAGTTATAGTTGAAAGAAATTTGGGTGAATATGTGTGTTGTTTAATGCATGTGGGTAGCAGTTGTAAGCTGAAGCAATTAATAAGGATACCAAAAGTAAGAGGACAAGCCTATGTCATACCTTTGCAAGTAATCACAGTAGGAATGGCCTCTTTTTGAATAGTTCCATGACTCTGTATCCAGAAAGAGATCAAGAGGAGTAAATGGCTTTGCTCATAGTTTGCCTCGTAGACTCTCACAACCTTTGAATTACTCTTCAATCAGATTCTTGATTCCTGTCATTGCAGCTTGTTTTCATTTTGATTTGGAAAGGAGTTGTATAAGAAATGCCAATGCATAAACTAGAAGCTTTACTTACCTAAATATGAAAGGGATTTGGATGAAATATGTGAGGTCCCACCTCGGTTGGAGAGGGGAACGAAACATTCCTTATAAGAGTGTGGAAACCTCTTCTCCCTGACAGACACGTTTTAAAGCTATGGGGCTGATAGTAATACATAACAGGCCAAAATGGATGATATCTGTTAGTAGACTTGGGTTGTTATAAATGATATCCGAGGCAAACACCGAGCGCTGTGCCAGTGAGGACACTGGGCCCCCAAAGGGGTGAGAATGTGAGATCCCACGTTGGTTGGAGAGGATAACAAAACATTCCTCATAAGAGTGTGGAAACCTCTCTCTAACAAACGCGTTTTAAAGTCTTGAGACTGACGACGATACGTAACAGGTCAAAACGAACAATATCTGCTAATAGTGGATTACGAAAGTCCATTAATCACTTACCTTGCTGCAAGACCTCACTTGATCTACTGAACTACTGGTTGCTTTCTGATATGTCATTGAAAGTCACCTGATTAAGTTGGTATTTTGTTCGATCATGGTAGACAGAGTTGATGAGGTTTATAACAGTTTGGAGGTGGCTAATATCTCCAACCATGAACTCGTGAGCCTTACCATCCACCTCAATGACACTTGATCCATCTGCTTTTTTCACACCTCTACGCTTCATTAGTCTCCTTAATCGACTCACATTGGACCATCTTTCATTAGTAGCAGACATATTGGGCAGCAGCACCAACACACCACTATCCTCTGGATCAAGTTCCAAGATGTAATCTTGTATGTTATGAGAGAGCTCAACATTTCCAACAATTAATACCCCTTAGGTTTGACACCAGATATTATCATTACTTCAAAAAACTTCAATGCTTCCTGCACAACTCCATGCAATGCCAGACCGCATAGCAGGGCATTCCAAGTGAAGGTATATTTCTTTGAGGCATATTGTTAAAGATTTGCAGTGCCATTTCGATGCACCAACATTTGGCATACATGTCAACAATAGCAGTTCCAATACGGATATTCCATTTGATTCCTCTTTGATCTATGTACTCATGGACCCATGTGCCAAAGCCAAGACTTCCTAGGCTAGCACAAGCAGAGAGAACACTAGTTCAAATAATCCCATCAGGGCCAATACCCAAGCTTCGCATCTTTGAAAACAGCTCCAAGGACTCTTTTGGATGGTTACTCTGCCCCAATCCAGCGATCATGATAGTCCAGGACACAACATCTCAAACAAACATTTCATCAAACACCCTACCTGCACTAGAAAAATCCCCACAAGCTCCATAGCAACGAATCCGCGAGTTTTGCACATAATGATCACCTAGCCCCAAATTAATCACCCCTCCATGAATCTGCCGCCTTCTCTGCTCCCTGAAAAGTTAAGAGCACGACTGGAAAAGTAAACATATCAGCTACAAACCCATCTCTTAAACTTTTGGTCTATCATATAAAGCAATTGTTCAAGACTATGATTGAATGCTAGTAGCTCTATTAATATTAATATTTATATGCTTAAATGATAAAAATATATAAAATTTTACTATTTTATTTCATCTTAATTCAAGATATTTCTAAAGAGAAGAAAAAAAAAAAAAAAAAGCTAAAAAAGCGGCTTTTTTACTTTCAATGAATGAAAAATGAAAAACAAAAATGTTTGATGCTCATCACTTTGACATTTACAATTACTTAGAAACAAACAAATTCCTTTTTCTTTTTCATAAAAAAAAAAAAAAAAAAAAAAAGCTAAAAAAGCGGCTTTTTTACTTTCAATGAATGAAAAATGAAAAACAAAAATGTTTGATGCTCATCACTTTGACATTTACAATTACTTAGAAACAAACAAATTCCTTTTTCTTTTTCATAAAAAAAAAAAAAAAAAGAAAAAAAAAGGTGGAGACCCAAACCAAACAAATCTTTGACCAAACCCAAACGTGCCAACCATCTATGCAAGTTGTAATGGAAACAAAAGATCTGAGCCGTCCATTAATTTTACTCCATAAAATAAATAGGGTTTGGGGGTCCCTCTTCAAAGTTGAAAGGATAAAGTGGGGTTGGCTTCTGGCTGCTGTTGCTGCTGCTGCTCCTCCGCCTGCTTCTGCTCCTCTAGGGTTTGTTTCTCTCTTCCTTTCTTACCTTTTTCATCCTTTTTTTTCTTTTCTTCTTAAAATACTTAACAAATGTTTTTACCCAATTTTTTGCTTTGGATTTCTCAATTACTCTATCTAATCATCCACAGTACATACTGAGATCAGATTCATTTTCGGCTGGTCAACCTGTTATTCCCTTCTTCTTCTTCTACATTTTTTCTCCAACGTTTCACTCACTTCTATCTGCGAAATTTCTCGATTTCAGGCCTTTTCTTTGTTGGGTGTCGGGGATTTTTTCTCAATTTTTCTGGGTTTTACTTGGATTTTGATTTGGGTTTCTTCATGGAGGAAGCCAATCAAAACCATCGCCTTGATGAAAAGGAAGGAAGCTCCAATGGAGGCTGTCAAAACCAGGACAGTTGCACCGTAGATTCTTCGAATCTTGCCAAGTCTGAAGGGAATTTATCGGATCCCCACATGGAGCCGCCGTCTACGGCGGTTCCGAAGAAAGAAAAGGAAGGGATTATGGAGCATGGATTGGATATTATGCATCCTTTGAGTCTCTCTCAGATACCGTCGACGGTGGCGAAGCCAGTGAAACGTCCTTCCAAGGACCGCCACACAAAGGTTGAGGGCCGCGGCCGGAGGATTCGGATGCCGGCGGCTTGCGCCGCCCGTATCTTCCAGCTGACCAGAGAACTCGACCATAAGTCTGACGGCGAGACAATCCGGTGGCTACTCGAGCACGCCGAGCCGGCAATTATCGAAGCGACGGGTACTGGCACCGTTCCGGCCATCGCCGTTTCCGTCGGCGGGACGCTTAAAATCCCAACCACATCCCCGGCGAGGCCGAATGGGGAAATTTCTGAAGCACCAAGGAAAAAACGACGAAAAGACTCAAACTCCGAATCAAACGATTGCAACGATCAAGCAACCGTTTCCTCGGGTCTTACGCCGATTGCTCCAATGGCGGCTTACGGTGCCGGCCTTGTTCCATTCTGGGGCAGCGCCGGCGGGGTTACAGAGCCGTTCTTCATGTTTCCGGGAACACCAAACAACCACCAACCGCAGCTGTGGGCAGTGCCGGCAAGACCCATATCTAATTTCGTATCATCAATGAATCCCAGTTTGCAATTTGGGGGTGTGATGCCGTTTCTGGCGAGAGGTGGTGTTTCAAATAGTTCGAGTGGGTTAGAAAGTGGATCTTCCCCGGCGACGGCGAGTGCTCCAGCGACAACCAGTGGTAGCACACAAATGTTGAGAGATTTCTCGTTGGAAATTTACGAGAAGAAGGAGCTTGAATTCATGGGTCGACCAAGCCCCGCAAAGACTGAAACGCCATGTTCGAAACCTTCAAAAAAATAATGACTTTTTTTTTTTTTTTTTAACTCCCAGTGTTTGTTATCGTTGTTGTTGCTGTTGTTTGGTGTGTTAGAACTTTAGTTACAAACAGGTTGGGCAAAAGATTGTTTTCCCACTAATAAATGTTGTCAGCACTGTAAAAAGATTAGGATACAACAGCCCCTCCTCCTCCTCCGCCGCCGCCTCCCTCCTCCTTTCTCCCATTTTTATTTTACTCTGTTCTCTCTCTGTTCTCAATTTGTTCTTGTTTATATCCAGTTTTACTGCCACTGCTAACACTTGCGAGACTGAAATCTTTTGCCGTTCTTTTTAATACTCCGAAAAGGAAAACAAATTTACTTTTCATTCAACCATTTAATTTATAGTTCTTGCAGGTTGGCTTTCTTTACCGTCAAGAAGGTTGCCCTGCCCACGTGCAGGGTGGTGGGTTACGAGAAGATTAGGATGCACGTGTACGCACGGGCCCCGCAACCTAATAGCTAGGCGAGGCGTGCCGCGTGGGAGGGGGGGGGGGGCCCACAAAGCTTATGGATTATACAAAAATAAAGTCAAAAAAAGGGATTGAGGAGTTAGGTCAGGTGGGGTGGGCCACAACATCGGAGCTGGCTGTCATGTGATAGAAGGACACGTGTCCCTATTTGGACCGACTCATACTTGGGCTCCTAAGTCCTAGTGGTGGTCCCCGCTTTATCCCAATATTTTATTTTTTTGGTTATTCATATGTGTGTTTTAATGGGATAATTAGGTAGATTTTACATTATAAACTTTTTCAAATTAAGAATGCTTCCCTCCCTTCTTTGGATCTCACCATCTAGATTTTGTCTCACTTACAACAATGGAGAGTAATGTGGAGGATTGTTCGTACTGAAAATGTGTACGATGGAGTATTTAACAGGGATGTAACGCGTCGGTGTTGATAGACTCAACGCCAGAGAACGGGCAGAGAAAGATGCACCTCCAAACATGTCGCCAAGGTCGTTCCATGTGATCCCTGAAGCCAACGCCATGCTTGAAAGTGCATGCCCACACACCGAATTCATGATATTGATCCAACTTTGGAATCTGGGTTGGTCCAAATTCTAAGAACACAAAGGTCCAAAACCGAATTTGGACATAAATGTTGGACAGTTCTTGGACCCAGTTGTGGAAAATGAAACAACGGTTGCCTTATTTTTTTACCATAATTCAGGCGTACCACGAACTTTAACGTGGTAACTTGAATTGGGCGACCCAACGTTAGTCACTTTTCTGGTAAAATACCCATCCATATCCATATCCATCTTCTATTGCAAGGGAAAGTGAAGGATAATTCAGATCCCATCCTCTTCCATGTCTAGAATGATTGCGAACTCGTCCGTTGCCATAAGTAGTCATAGTGTGGTTGTAATAGCCCAAGTCCACCGCTATTAAATATTGTCCTCTTTGATATTCCCTTTTAGGCTTCCTCTCAACATTTTTAAAAGGCATCGGCTAGGGTGAGGGTGAGATTTCCACACCCTTGTAAGGAACGTTTCGTTACCTTCTTCAACCGACGTGAAATCTCACAATTCACCTTTTTGGGAACCAGTGAGATCACTGACACACTGCCTAGTGTCTGACTCTGATACCATTTGTAACCACTCAAGCTAACAGCTAGCAGATATTGTTCTCTTCACGCTTTCCCATATAAGCATTACTTCAAGGTTTTAAAATGCATCGGTTAGGGAGAGGTGAAATGTTTTGCTCCCCTCTCCAACCTATGTAGGATTTCACAATAACCTCTCTCTATCAGACGCTTCTTAAAAACTTTGAGAGGAAGTCCGAAAGGAAAAGTCCAAAGAGACAATATCCACTAGCGATGGACTTGATCTATTACAAATGGTATTAGAGTCAGATATCATGGAGCGTGCATTGAACCCACAAGCATGCAATTTGGACATCCACGGCCATCATCATTTCTATGCTCATATTACTCACATGCATGCACTCTTAATCAGGTTAGTGGACAAACTAATCCCTTTTTAATTTAAATCACATCCCTCCCTCATGTCTTCCAGCCTTAATCAACACCCATTTATCCATTAATAAACATTTGCGTTCAAACATGAATCATGGCGTTTTGTTCAAGATTTCAAGATCAAACTCTGCATTCCCTCCTAATTCCTTATATCCATCCAAAGGGTTGCTGACAATGGAAGAAGAATATTAATAATTGAATAAGGTTAAGGAACAAGGAGGGGCCTCCCCACACTTTCTCTCATACAATTCCCATCTCCAATAGTACCAATTTTGTGGGCTTGTGCATCATTGGAGTGAAGTTTCAATATGGGTTGGGCGTAAATTTGAAAGTGTTCGATAAAGGCACAACATCTCCATGTCTCCAATTTTTTGTAAATCCAAGACTTCCACATAGTTCCGAGAAAATGATAGTTAAAGGGAAGAAGGAAAGTGAGATTTTAGGAGACATAAGGATGTGTGTTTGTCTGGTCCGAACGGTTACTTAAGAGGCATAAAAAACAATGGCTTCACTGCAATTCACCATCATCATATGTCCACCACTCGAATAATGTCTCCACCCCTTCTCCCTCTCAACTTTACAAGCTTTTGAATTTCAAATTTTTCGCTCTCTGGGAACCTCAACTTGTATTGTATTTAACCTTAGAATCTGCAAAGTTTTCCACAAAAACTGAATCTGAAACTTCACGTTGTCCTGCATTAATGTGCACTCCAATATTCTTTACTTTTTTTTCCATAACCTTAGGTTTATCAAAAATATCTTCTTTATTGTTTTCATGTATTTGAAACTATTCTTTAAAAGGGTTACTATACGTATTATTGTTTTGTGAGATCCCACGTACGGGCCAAAGCAGACAATATCCACTAACAATGAGTTTGGACTATTCCAAATGGTATCAGAGCTAGACATTGGATGATATGACAGCGAGGAGGCTGAGCCTCGAAGAAGGTGGATTGGGTGGTCCCACATAGATTGGAAACAAGGGAACGAGTGTCAGCGAAGACACTGGGTCTCAAAGGAGGATGGATCGTGAGATCTCACATCGATTAGAGAGGGGAATAAAGCATTCTTTATAAGGGTATAGAAACCTCTTCAAAAACCCATAAGGGAAAGCTTAAGGAGGACAATATCTACTAACAATGGACTTGGGCCATTATAGCTTCGTTCCCCCTTTCAACCGGATCTCACGAAAACACCATTATTTTGGTATTATAAAGCTTAAACAAGTGTTTAAAACACTTGTTGTAGTTAAAAAGATGATAGGATTGATTATTTATGTTGTTTGGTGTGTCTGAAAGTGGGATCCAAACAGAGCACTTTACAGGTTTACACTGTCCTTAATACTCCTCTTTCTGCCTCCTCACTTCTCATAACCAAACAATTCCCTTCCTACCCTACCTTCACATGCATTTCCCACAAAACCCATTTGCTTTCATATCACCCTTTTTTATCATAAAATCTTGAAGCTTTTCCCTCTCTCAAACTTTACTGTCAAATCCATTGATTCCTTTCTAAACAATGCATGATTGGAGCACTTATTACTGTATCTTTCATATACATTAGTAGAGGGGAATATCATAGAGCTAAGTTCTCGAGATGGAGTTCATCAGTTCATTATTATTGTAGGTCCAATCTATGTACCTAACAAGGAAAAACAACAAACTAAGGAAACAAATAAGAAATACCCTCTTCCCCAAAACAGAGAATGGAAGTAAATTTGGTTATCAGATTCAGAACTCAGAACTATCCCCACATCTCATAGCCAATATGGCTTAGGTGCATAAATTGAGTTAAATATTCATCATCCAAAACCAAAACCAAAACCAAAACCCAGAAATAGTATTATATAAAGCTTTAGGTTCTTAGCCCGAGTCTGCAGACTGCGAACCCAGCCAACTATTTTACTTATTCCCTTCACCCATTTCAATTCCCAACACAAAAACAAAGTTGAAAATGAAAAGGGGTTATGGTTTTTTTGGGGTTTGGGTGCGGTAAAATTTGGGAGTGAGTGTAAGAAAAGAAAGTAACAGAGAGAAGAGGAGAGAGAGACAGAGTACTGAGAATAACAACGGATCATACTTCTGGGTGTACTTCAAATTCCTGAATTCTTATATAAATATGCTTTCATTTCATCCGTTGTTTTCGCTTCCACTGCAGAATCTCTCGTTCCCTTTTCTTTTTCCCTCTTTTACTACATGAGAGAGAGAGAGAGAGAGAGAGAGAGAGAGAGAGAGAGAGAGAGAAAGTTCTTAGCTTTCCCTGTTTCTGACATTTTTCTCATGAACTTTTTTTCTTTCTATATATCAAACGCTCTTTCTCTCTTTGCTTATAATTGATACACAAAAGAAAGGGGATTCCCGATTATGGGGAAGCAAAGGTATTGGAGCGGACATGGAAGAACAGCAACAGCTTCCACTAAAACACTCAAAAATCAACCAAATGGTTTCGATGAAGCTTCTTCTTCTACCTCTGCTGGCTGTATGTGTGCTGTTTTTCAGCTCTTTGATTTTCATCCTTTGAGCCACCACCAACATCATCACCCTCCTCGATCAACTGTCTCTCTCAACCCCATTGTCTCTCCTCCACCGCCGGACGACGACCATCTGTCTAAAGGTTCTTTTTTCTCTCTCTTTATAGGACCAAAATCAGATTTTGATATATGGGTTTGGTTTCTTTCTCTAATTTTTCTATGTATTTCAGATCAAAATCTGATTTTGAGTAATGGGTCGGTGAAAAATTTAGGTACTGAAGCTCCACGAAACAGTGTGGAGTCAGAGGAAGAAGAATCTTCATTGCCATGTACTCCAAAACAAAAGGAGGATGGTTTACATTTCCCAGTACGTAATTTGATTTTATGTTCTCGAGAAAATTCTATTTTGCAAACACAATAACTAACCCAATTCAAACTCTTTTCTTTGTCGCAGAAGGGCATTGTTCAAATCAAAACCAAAAGTGGAATAACCAAAGAATCAGAAATGAATTCAAACAAGAATTTGTCCGCCGGCAACGATTCTCCGAGCACCAAGACGCCAACTTTAGTGGCGAGATTAATGGGTTTGGATCTTCTACCTCAATCCACCTCTCCTTCAACCACAACCAGAACTCCTCATTCAGTTGTTGGAAAGCCAAAAACAGGCAAAAATCATTTAACTGGGACTCGTTCCTTGCCGGAAACCCCAAGAACATCTTGTGAAAGAAAACCAAATGTGGATAATTATCACCACCGCCTCTCACTTCAAATCCCCAATTTCGATAAAGAGAATGCAAGTCCAAGTCCAGGTCCGAATCCAAGCCATTATGCTAAAGAGATCGTGAAG